GCAAGGCTCGAATAATCGCATCTGCTCTCCCCAAATTGCCCATTTTTGTGTAAAATCAGAGCGTCAATTAGGGAGAATTTACTGTACTATAATTTCTCTCTAATTCGAGCTCAGATTGCGCACAAAAATAGACAATTTGGGAAGAGGAAATGCAATTGTTCGAACCCTGCGGTTTTCATTTTTATAGTCGCCGATTGTCAGCAACTATAAAAAGCGAGCTGCAAGGCTCGAATAATTGCATCTCCTCTTCCCAAATTATCCATCTTTGTGTAAAATCAGTGCGTCAATTAGGGAGAATTTACTGTACTATAATTTCTCTCTAATTCGCGCTCGGATTGCGCACAAAAATAGACAATTTGAGAAGAGAGGAGATACGATTATTCGACCCGTTGCGGCCCGTTTTATTCGACAATCGGTAACCATAATAAACGAGGTGCAAAGCTCTAAAAATTGCATCTTCTCTTCCCAAATCATCCATTTTTGTGTACAATCTGAGCGTCAGTATTTATTACTATATTTCCGGCAACACTGTGCGTATCCGAAAGCTAACAGAAAGCATTCCACAGTGAACGGCGGATGGTCCTCGTGGTCAGCCTGGTCAGAATGTCACTCGAGATGCGCGAAGGGCGGCCAGAAGCGTACTCGGACCTGCACGAACCCTCTGCCGATGAACGGGGGCCAGTCTTGCCTGGGCCCGACGCAGCAGAAGATGGACTGCAGCACGAACTGTCCCGGTAAGTCCACCGGCGGTGTTCGTTACCCGTGGCGAAATGAGATTTTCAAGGAAGCATCACGCTTCGTTAACGTCACCGCGCGCCGTTAGGTTCCGCGGATCGGCGTTTCTTGCTAGTTCTGCTTCCTTGTCTATTCCTCGGCCAGGTTTTCCGCCGCGCCGGCCCGCGAGAGAGAAAGAGAGCGAACGAGAGAGCGAGAGGAGAGATAGAGAGAGAGAGAGAGAGCGGCGGATCGTCGTTCGGTACGTGGGTCGCTCAGACGACAGCCAAGCAGGTTCTGTGCCACGGCAAACCAATATTACCGATGCCGAAGAGCGGAGAGCCGCTCGTTTGATTTACGAGCTTCCCTCTTTCCCTCTCACGGTCGTCTCGGCTATCTGTTGCGCGACCGTTCCGCTCCCCCGTCGGCCCGCGTCGGCCCGCGTCAAGCCGCGCCGCGTCCACTGTTTGCCTCCGTCGCCACCGCACTCTTAAATTGTATTCACCTTTCGAAAACGTTTGCGACATTCCGAAGACACCTGCGGCAGCAGCCCCCGAGAGAGTCGTGCGGAGTGTATTGAAACGCTCGCTCGTCTCGTCTCGTCTCGTCGGGGCCAACGTCCATCGACAGCCGCGTTCTCGCTCGACGATCCGACGGCTGCGGCAGCGGCGGCGACGGCGGAGGCGACACTTGAAATATTAACCCCTCGTCTGCTGACGAGTCACACCACGGGAATTCTGATGCAGACGATCGACGCATCGCCGGAATGCTACCGGCCGTGTTTTCCAAGATCCGTTTCGAAACGGACCGCGTCGTTTTCTTAGGCGAGGAGGAGCTCTCTCTCGAGAGAGAAGTTCTTCGGCCTAGGCCGCCTTTCGGATTTTTTTCGGAGCTGTCGGGATATTGTCTCGCAGCGACGTTTCGTTGGTTTGTTCTGTAGTGTTTGAAGTACATTGTGTATTTTTTTCGAGACGAAATAGCTGAAATTGTACGAGCCGCAGTTTGCGCGATGCGAGGCCTGGTTGGCTGTTTTTAACGCTGGATTTACGGAACGCGGCAAATTGACGGGTCACTGATTTGTTGATTTACGATTGTTCGGATCGTAAAGATACTTTTTCGAGCTTCTTTGTTTAATATGTATGTTGCAGCAAACATTACACTGGTAATAATGCACGTTTCAAAATAAGAATAAATGTCAGATTGTTACTTTTATATACTAATAGATATACTAATACTAATAGAAATACTTATTATGTAATTTATATTAATTATATTAATATTTATTATATTAATACTTATTTATATACTAATAGAAAACAGCTGATTTTAGCGTTTCGTAAATCCACTGTTAAGGAAAGTACAGTAAATTTTCCTTCCCAATTTTCCATAACCTTGTAAACAAAAATAGACAATTTCGGAAAAGAGATGCAATTAAAACGAACTGCAAGGCTCGAATAATAGTATCTCCTTCTCCCAAACTGCCCATTTTCGTTTGCAAGCTGAAGGAAAATTAGGAAGAATTTACTGCATTTCACTGGCTCTCGCGGTTTTAGCAGCTCGCGTGAAAAGGATTACTTAGCATTAGTGCAGTATTTGTATTTAAAGCTACAATACTCTTTTAATAAAAATTCTATCAACTCTATTTAGAGTGAAAGTTATTCATGGCTAGAACAGTCGAACGAACTCGGCTGGAATCGATAGTAGATGGACGGATGATAGTCGCGGGTTTCGTGCTCGCTCTGGAAAAAATCGTGGCCAGCGTCGCAGACGAGGGGTTCTTGATGTCTAGGCAATAATGTGTCACGCTTTCTATATCTCACCAACTAATTGTTCGCTTTCGTTAACGCACCTACGTGTCTTTTCTGTCTAACGCTTACTTTGGAACAGCCGGCGCGTTGGAGGAGTTCACCAACACTTTAGGTAAGTCCGCACATGCGATTCGCAAACGAGATGTAATCGGTTCGGGTCGTGGAAAGACCGTTCGAAAAACGTCCGAATTTCGTCCCCTCGAATTCTATCGGCTTCAGTCGCTGCCTGTTCCTTCCATCGAGAAACTTGTTCGGCGATTACAGTAATTTCTCCCAGAAATTCTCGGAGGTCGGAATTGAGACCGGCAGATCCGAGAATATTATTAGTATTATTATTATTACTTTATATATTAGTAATATTAATATTATTATTTCATGTATTAGTTATATTAATATTATTATTTTATATATTAGTAATATTAATATTACTATTTCATACAGAATATTAGTAATATTAATATTATTATTTTATATATTAGTAATATTATTAATATAAATACATAGTAATGCTAGAATAAAAACGATGACTTAACTTTTTTATTTCTAATTTTTCGCCACGATTCGAAGGCAATTCGGAGACCATACGACACGATTCGAAGGCAATTCGGAGGCCACATGCGACGATTCGAAGGCAATTCGAAGACCCAAACTGACGATTTTCTGTCGTCTTCCGGGAATTCGCGTCCCATCGCAGTAAATTACACATTCGTAGTACCAGCACAATAAAATTCACAGCAACCCGAAATCCGGCATTTCCGGGAGAAATCGCTGTACTCTCTTCCAATAATCGCAGAACTCGAAAGAGTCTATATCGCCGCATATCGCATCGAATCGCATCATTCCAAAAGAAAAACTGGAAACCACCCGCGACGGTGTCCGGGGTCTTTCCGCGGCCCGTGGCACGGAGCAAAGTAAGCGACACCGAGCGTAATTTGTAAGTATCACGAGGCAGCATGGTGCCGGGCGCTGTCGTCAGCAGCGAAGATTAAGGCGTACGTACGTTCTCGTGCGGCGTTTTTTCTGCGCGGGAAAACGCGCGCGGCACACGAGTCGATTAAGCGGGGTAAAGAAGCGGCGCGGGGGCCCCGTCCGAATCGAACCCGAACAAGATTCGACGGCGGGGCACGGGGGGCGCCCGCGCGGGCCGCGGGACGAGTTACGAGCCCGTGTCCCGCCGCGCCGTAACTTTTTTACTGTCGCTTCGCGTCGATCGAACTCGGCCTAACGACCACGGACGACTACGAAGAGCAACGTTCGATCCTCCAAGCATCCGTGTTTTTTTCCCCTTTGCTTTCTGTTCTTTGTCTACCCGGACGACACAGTGGTGGACGGTGGATGGTCCAGATGGTCGGCATGGTCGGTGTGTGGGAGCGACTGCACGCACACAAGGAGGAGATCGTGCGACGATCCGCCACCCAGCCACGGCGGTCGACCTTGCCAGGGTAGAGACATCAGCGTGGCGAATTGCACCGGCGGCATGTGCAACAGTAAGTCACGAGGCGAACTCTATTCTCTACTTGTCACGACTTCCTCGGCCGGCTATCCCCCCCGATGCCCGCCTGCCGGCCCCACGTGCTTCCTCCTTTCCGCGGGAAACTTCGTCCCCCGGGTACGCGTTTCAGGCTCTGCCAATCTTGCACCATTTTGTATAATGAATTCTTCCTAATTGAGACTTAGATTGGGCACAAAAGTTGAGAATTTTGGAAGACGAGGTACGATTGACAGACGGTAATTATAAAAACGGACCGCAACGGGCCGAATAATCGTACCTCCTCTCTTTCCAAATTGTATATTTTTGTGCGCAATCTGAGCGCGAATTAGAGAGAAATTATAGTACAGTAAGTTCTGCCTAATTGACGCTCGGATTGGGCATAAAAATGGAGAATTTTGGAAGACGAGATGCGATTGACAGACGGTAATTATAAAAACGGGCCGAATAATCTTATCTCCTCTTTTCCCAAATTGTCCATTTTTGTGCGCAAACTGAGCGCGAATTAGAGAGAAATTATAGTGCAGTAAATTCTCCCTAATTGACGCTCTGATTTTACACAAAAATGGACAATTTGGGGAGAGCAGATGCGATTATTCGAGCCTTGCAGCTCGCTTTTTATAGTTGCTGACAATCAGTGACTATAAAAATGAAAACCGCAGGGCTCGAACAATTGCATTTCCTCTTCCCAAATTGTCTATTTTTGTGCGCAATCTGAGCGCGAATTAGAGAGAAATTATAGTACAATAAATTCTCCCTAATTGACGCTCTGATTTTACACAAAAATGGGCTATTTGGGGAGAGCAGATGCGATTATTCGAGCCTTGCAGCTCGCTTTTTATAGTTGCTGACAATCAGTGACTATAAAAATGAAAACCGCAGGGCTCGAACAGTTGCATTTCCTCTTCCCAAATTGTCTATTTTTGTGCGCAATCTGAGCGCGAATTAGAGAGAAATTATAGTACAGTAAATTCTCCCTAATTGACGCTCTGATTTTACACAAAAATGGGCTATTTGGGGAGAGCAGATGCGATTATTCGAGCCTTGCAGCTCGCTTTTTATAGTTGCTGACAATCAGTGACTATAAAAATGAAAACCGCAGGGCTCGAACAGTTGCATTTCCTCTTCCCAAATTGTCTATTTTTGTGCGCAATCTGAGCGCGAATTAGAGAGAAATTATAGTACAATAAATTCTCCCTAATTGACGCTCTGATTTTACACAAAAATGGGCTATTTGGGGAGAGCAGATGCGATTATTCGAGCCTTGCAGCTCGCTTTTTATAGTTGCTGACAATCAGTGACTATAAAAATGAAAACCGCAGGGCTCGAACAGTTGCATTTCCTCTTCCCAAATTGTCTATTTTTGTGCGCAATCTGAGCGCGAATTAGAGAGAAATTATAGTACAGTAAATTCTCCCTAATTGACGCTCTGATTTTACGCAAAAATGGACAATTTGGGGAGAGCAGATGCGATTATTCGAGCCTTGCGTCTCGTTTTTATAGTTGCTGACAATCGGTCACTATAAAAACGAAAGTCGCAGAACTCGAATAATCGTATCTCCTCTTCCCGAATCGTCCATTTTTGGCGCAATCTGAGTGCGAATTAGGGAGTAATTACTCTATATCTCGCGGTTATTTCATGAGATACGGAAGAACTTTGTTAGCAACAGTTGCACAGTCGGTACTTTTTCATAGAAAACGTCGAGCTTCGACCAGTCTGTAAAGGGATACATGTTCATAATTAGAACATTGAAGATGACCTTGGAATCTCCTAAAATTATTACCGCTATATTATAGATCTCCGCGAAACTGAAGAACTATTATTTTCATATTAACCCCTTGTCATACCATTTTTTTCACGATTAAAACGAGTAGAAGCTTCCAATTGAAATAATTTTTCAGAAGAAAAAGAAATGTATATTTATAGTGTGCGTTGGCCAGACATAATTCACCTATTTACAAAAATCAACAATTCTAAGTCTTCAAAAATTAATAATTCTGCAGTTTTGAAAATTTCATTGCACGATTCACGCAGCTCCACGAGAAAAATATTGTTCATGTCTTACGTATGACATTCTGTGTAGAATTTCACATTTCAATTCTGAGGACATATATGTCTATCGATTGAACGAAAATTGCCCAGAAATAATTCGCCTATTTACAAAAATCAACAATTCTAAGTCTACAAAAATTAATAATTTTGCGATTTTGAAAATTTCATTGCACGATTCACGTAGTTCCACGAAAAAAATATTGTTCACGTCGTAAAAAACGTCCTCGAGGTGTCAAGCTGAAGTATCTTTGGCAACACGCGAGCAGCAAGTACGAATCCCGCGGAACGTATCCAGATTGTCAATCAGAAAGATTCTGAAGATCCGAGAAATCTCGACTGACGCCGATCGAAGCTCGATCGTAGATAAATCATCTTTAGAAACAATATTATCGGAAAGAATATTCGTAGAAGCGTGAAAAGCGTTCGGTATCGCCGTATCCAGGTAGAATTGCAGGCCTTTGAACAAAATCCCATCTGCGCAAATGACTTCGGGACCGTGCAAGAGAAATTTAAATAACGTCTGACGGTGAAAAATAGACGGGAAAAAAGCAAGAGACCGCGTCGGATGGGACGAAGCACGGACGAGGATAATATTCCGTGTCGCGGCTGTGTAGCAGCCAGCAGCAGACTGTTGAAAGCCTCGGAGAACAGGAGAACCAAAGGCGCTTATTTCTTGCATAATAGAATAACTGTATCCCTTTTTTTGCGCGCTACTATATTTCCCGCGCCTGTCGATTGACCGTAAATACAGCTGGCTTTCTCGGCAGAGATAATTGTCGCTCCAGTTATGCCCGGAAGCCCCGGACAATATCAACTGCAGGAGCCCCGGCAATGAAAGCCCGGGTAATCTTATTTCCTGTCGCGCTCAAAGAAATACGATTACGTCTTAACGCGTTCGCTGTCGGGAATATTTCATTTGACCGTCTTAAACCCCATTGTGGATCAATCTCTCGTTCCTCGGAGAAGAAATGAATTGCACGCCGTGATATTCAATTTGCTTCGAGCGTATCCACCGCGCGTCGTACAACTTCCTTCCTTCTCGCGTTCCCGCGATCGCAATTGCGAAACAAAATCGTCGCCGTTGCCGTCGCTGCTGGTCGCCGAGGAAAATTAATAACGCGCGAAAAAGGATCACGGTGACCGAGAGACGGCGGCGAACGGCGCACGATGGTCTGGCGAACCGGCGAACCGTGGGCCAAAAATTGTTTCACCAGCGTCGCTTCGAAGTTTAAGGTTATGGTGCTGCTGGTCGTTCAATTCGTCTCGAGATCAGCTAGAATGTTATATGATATTATGTTATAATATTGTCGAGTCAAGAATATTATATTATATAATAATATAATATAATAATATACAATTATACTAATTATACTATAATAATATAATATTATTGTTGTAAAATGAAATGATACTTAAAAGCACTTTATTCAGAATTACAAATTCTACTCCAGAACATTCGCGTATCCAGTAAAATAGATGATGGTGATATATTACAAAACTATAGAGATACAGAAAATATGGTGTTGGTGGAATCCCGAGGTGGCAACCTCACGGTTCGGTTTCTACTTTTGAACTGACTATCGTCTGAGCCGACCTGGGCCTCTGTCGCCAACGGCTCACCCTCACAAAGGGCCATAAAACAGTTCGATGGGTCATCGTTGAAATTCCAACAAATATATTATTATACTAACATTTAAAAAGTCGAGGTGCCCTTTTTTACCACATTTTTTTATGAAAAAGAAATTCATTCTGCAAGTTTTTATGTTCTGATCTGTAAAAAAGTGAATATAGTACATTTTTCATAATTTTCCTTCGGCTTGTAAACAAAAATGGACAATTTGGGAAGATGAGATATATTATATATATATTGTATATAACAATTATATATATATTGTTCATTATTGTTTATAAACTGAAGGAGAATTAGGGAGCATTTACTGTGCTGAGCAATTTTTGTTGGAATCCGCGGTCTAGATACATGACACATAGACTAAAATATACCAAGTTGATAACATAGTAACTGTGGATTTTATGCAATCGTGGCAAAAAAAGCGATCAAGTATAAAAGGTTGAAAGCATGTAATTAATAAAATGCTATTGCATTATTCGTAGCTCGTTAAAATAATCAAAGAAGGAAAGGAATGTCTGAGTAGCAATTAATATCCATATCTTGCAATTAATCCAGACAATTTTTATTTCGCATAAAAATTCGCAGTCCAATAATAATATAATACAAATTCTTTAAAATTTTCACTAGAGCTGGTCTTCATAAAATTACATCTTATTACTAAACCGTGGAATGCATAAAGCATTCATGACAAGAATAATCAGGTCGATTTTAAAATAGTAGACCAATTAAGAGAATTAAAGAGTTGTCATATTTTTTTCATGTAACTAAAATTGTTAAAAATCGAAACAACCGTTTACCTGACAACTGGTTATCGCAATTCACAAATACAGTTTTCATTTTGCATAAATATCCGCAGTGTACTTGTTAACAGATCCTTTTAAGTGAATTAACATTTTAGATTAACAAAGCTCCGGAGGATAGTAAACTCGTTCGAAAAAAACGTCGAAAATCTGAGAGCTGCAAAATTGATTTTTGTCCACGAATCGCCGCACCGCCACAGCACCGTACAACGGTTAAAACCGTGCGCGGGTTCAAGTTGACGAGTTCTCGGACCGGTTCCCATCGCATGGAATCCGAGAATCGCTCCCTTTTACGTGTCAATTACCGTAGCTCACCCACTTAGGCCCTCAATTACATCCACATTTCTAGAGCCCGTTCGTTCTCTTTTTTTCTTCCAGACGGCGGCACGAAAATGGGTGGCGCTCACTTGACCGAGGAAGGTAAGTCAGTCCATCGGCGAACAAAAGCCGCGTTTCTCCCACGGGCTTAATCTCCTTTCGGCTCCATTAACCCTCCCGACGACGGCCGCGGAGGAGACGGCCGTAATATTTGACGCCGTGACAAAAGACGGCGCACCGTTGCTTTAGATCCGCCGTTAAACCGAAAGTAGTACGCCGAACACGCCGGAATATAAAGGGTGTCCCGAAAATGTCTCGCAATCTGGAAATGGGAGGTTCCTGAGGTCATTCGAAGCAACTTTTTCCTTTGCGAAAATGTTCTCCGAGGCCTCGTTTACGAGTTATTAAACGAAAAACACTGACCAATAAGAGGCGAGCTCGGCTGGCGCGCGGCGGCCCAGCAAACGAGTGCACGTAGCCCAGTTCCGCTCATTGGCTCGGCCGTCTCGCGCCAAATGATCTCGTCTCTGATTGGTCACTGTTTTTCGTTAATAACTCGTAAACGAAGCCGCGGATTGCATTTTCGCTAAGGAAAATGTTGCTCGAAATCACCTCAGGAATCCCCTACTTTCGGATTGCGAGACATTTTTGGGACACCCTGTACATACATACATTCATATTTCGGCGTCGTGCCGGTGTGACGACGACGACGACGACGACGCTGTAAAGTGATATTAACCGTTCCGTTAATCGTAAACCGTGTCCAGGGGCTGTGGATCATCGGCTTGGGGGTAGTTCATGCGATAGATAATGGAATACTATATCATGCTTAAGTAAGTGGGCCGCGGTGGGGCATCGTCGAGGGGGTTGAACTCCGAATTTAGGGGTGCGAATTCAGTTGCTGCAACCTTTTCATTTTTCGTGGATCTTCGTCGGGCGATTCGATCGTTCTAAAGACGCATTCTAAAGATAAAATAATAACAAAAGATAAAATAAAAGATAAAATTTGCGATGGAAAATAACTCGAGAAATGTCCATGCATATTCTGAGAACTTGAAATGATAAGAAAACGTATAATATTATTGAAGAATATTATTGCAGAATCACAAGCAAATCTGGAAGATTTGTATTATTAACGATCCGACTACGATAACAAGTATTATAAATATAAATAATATTTTAGAAACATGCAGAAATACGTCTAAAAATCCAGGCTAAATAAAACATATAAAATAATACGTAATAAAGAATACAAAAAAATACGCGACCGATATAATATAAACATATCAAGAATAAAATAATATAACTGATAAAATAATAATGTAATAGAAAATACCCTATGATAATCCGAAGGTATTATTTGCAATTATAAAAACACTGCATGGAGAAATCTAAAAAAAACCACATATGAACCACAAAATACAAAAGAAAAGGTCCTACAAAAATTCCAAAATTGTATCGAAGGTCCAAATTAGGGAGAATGACGTCATGGAAGACAATGAAAGAATATTATAATACGATATATTATATATAATATAAAAACATATCAACAATAAAATAATATAACCGATAAAATGTAATAGAAAATATCCCACGATAATCCGAAGTTATTCTTCGGAATTATAAAAACATTGCACGAATAAAACTAAAAAAAAACTACATATGAATCACAAAATACAAAAGAAAAAATTCTACAAAAATTCTGAAATTATATCGAAGGTCCCAATTAGTTAGAACGACGTCATGTCTCCCGCTGAAAGAATATTATAACACGATTAAATTTACGAGATTATTTATAAACAAAATACACGCGCCCGCAAGAAATAAAAATAAAACTATCGCCGCAGCAATAGGAACAGAGCAACCGATAGAATCGATTCAATTGGCGCGCGACGTATGCGAAGGAATTCTCATTAAGAGTCGTCCGGAGGCGCGGCGATTATCTAATCGCGATTCGCGCGATCCTTCGGGAACCACCCCCGATTCGTCTCGGGCTCGCGGCGAGGCGGGCAAAATCGAGGAAAAAGCGTCGCGGGGGGACGAGTAGGAGGAGACGAAGAGGAAACAGGGTGCGACCATCGTAGAAAACGCGGGCCGAACTCGTCGCGCGACATTCTCGGATGGGATTATTCACGGCCGGTGCCTCGGCCCCGCGTTTCTATCGGCTGAATCGCCGCGCGCGGCGCAACGACGACGTGGCGCTACGGCTCTCGTCCCGCGATCTGATAGCATTCAAATCGGACGACTAAATAGAAGACCGCGACCGATTTATAATCCAGGCCCGCGGCCGTTGCTCGCATCGCGCCGCGATACGCATCGATTCCGGGGTATATTAATGCGACGCGCTGGGAACGCGTTGGCTTTTTAACCGGCGGCGCGTCGCGGAACGAGCAGAACACGAGAAAATCGTCCTCCCTTTAATGGAACGGACGCGAGGAGCGTGTTGCGGACGCCCTGTTGCGACGCGGACGAATTCGTCGATTCATCATTGATTACCTCGCCGTCCGGTTTTTGCGAGGGTAATGACAACGAGGGGGAAGGGGGGACACACACACGCGGGGGCCGATGGATATTTATGCGGGGAATGGCGACAGCGAGTCATGCACGCGGCGGCGGCGGGCTTTCGGCCCGAAGTCGAACACGTACCGAAAGATATTTATGAAGTTATCTCCATTCGGCGGCAGCCTGTCAGCTCTATATTCGTCTCCCCGGGTCCGCGACGCTTCGTCTCGTAATTCTCCGGCGAACGCGCGACATAAATTTGTTAGCGCTTGTTCGTAAATAACTTCGTCGGCTTGCTCGTGAATTTTAAGACACCTGTCGCGGCCGTGACGGAGACGCGACGAACTCTGTGATATGTAACTTGATAGTAATCGAAATGTAATTACATAAAGTTGATTTCACATTTTTCGGTGTTATTTTGCCGGGAATTGGAAAGGCAACGAGTTCAAGATCGACACACGCTCGCGAGGGATGAAATTCGGAAAATTCTTAATAGTAACTTAATAGTAATTGAAATGTAATTAAAATTGAATTGGTTTCACATTTTTCGACGTTATCCTACCGGGAATTGGAAAGGCAATGAATGAAAAAATCGATACACGCTCGCAAGGGATGAAACTCGAAAAATTCTTATTAGTAACTTGATAGTAATCGAAATGTAATTAAAATTGAGTTGATTTCACATTTTTCGGCGTTATCCTACCGGGAATTATAAAGGCAATGAATGAAAAAATCGATACACGCTCGCAAGGGATGAAACTCGAAAAATTCTTAATAGTAACTTAATAGTAATCGAAATGTAATGAAATTTTTTAAAATTTTTCGGTGTTATTTTACCGGTAATTATAAAGTCAATGAATTAAAAAATCGATACTCGCTCGCGAGGGATGAAATTCGGAAAATTCTGGAACTTCTGGAATTTATTACGCAATTTCATTTTATTGCGTATATATTTTGTTTTTCTCGTCTGTATTTTAAGGGATGAAAATTAATCTCGAAATATTAGGCTATTTTTCATTTTGTTGCTATAATTCGCGAATTATGGAAGACGGAGGGAAACTCTTCGAACGAAAGCTACTTCTTTCGTCCAGTATTTGCTTGTAACTTTTGAGAATTGTTTAAACAATTCACGAAAATCGTGTACAATGTGATAGGTTTGGACGAAACAAGTAACTCTTGTCCGACGACTTTTCTTCTATCGTGTATAATTATAGCAAATTATAGAGATCGATTATAGAACAGCCGAAAATATGTTAATTTCCACCCCTCAAAGCGAACTTACGCAAAAAAGGAAAGAAATCACGTAATACACATCCACATGTACACTCCAAGCATCCCTCAGATTTCAGAATATTTCGAATTTCCTAATCTGGGATCATCCCTTAATCTCGTGTCTCAAGAAACCAAAATTTCTGCAGCCCCGTCTGAGACGATATCATTTTCGACATCCGCGAACACGTTTCACGCGCGTCGCGGCCATTTCCAATAGCTCGATACATCGAACGGCTCTCGAGGAAATCGCTCGGAATGTTTCTCCAACAGCAACGCGACGTCGAAATTGATGGATGCCGAGCAGAAGAGCCCCTCGCGATCGGAAGGAAAAAAAAAGTTCGGCCGTTCGGAAGGACGCAATCGTGCTCAAGTGGGTTTACCGATGAAATTTTCCGCGTCAATAAGGAGCGCCGGCTGCGAGAGAGCCGAGAGAGGCCCTCACCCCCGACTATTTACTTTTAATTACGCGACTGGTTAATTATTGACGCTTCGCGGAGGGGGCCCGGGGAGGCGATCGCCGGCCCCCAGACCGGTCCAAACAATCGTAACAATGAGATGGCGGGGGCTGGTGGTAGTCAAGGGTGGCCCGCTGGCTCCGTATAGATCCGGACACCCCCGGTTAGCCCTGGACGATTCTATCGACCGGGCCACATCAAAGTTGCACGCGATACGGTTCACCCCCCCTCCTCCTCCCTTCGGTCTCGACGCGGCTCCGGGGATGGGGGTCCGCTTTAATATCGAAGAAAATTATGTAATCGGTAGCCGTTACGCCCCTCAGCGGCCTGCAACAGGGGAAATTGATCGTGCATGCAAATAAAGTGCCATTATCCCCGTGCGGAGCCCCGAACGTTGTACAACGCTGTCGGGATTACCGGCCAGAAACTGCTCCCCCGGATCCAGGGGTTCGATTTTCGCGACCGCCCGCGATAAGAACCTACGAATCGCAATCACGGCGCGTTCGACATCTCGCGATCTTCGAACCGTTTGCACGAATACCGTAAGTGGCCGCGCTACTTCGATGTTCTCCTCGCGAATCGGGTGAAAAACGACTGCCTCGAGCGCGTTCATCGATCGAGACCGTTCTTATCGAGCCGTCGATTTTTTTTTCCTGGACAGCGTGCGCTGTCAATTCTCCCTAATTTTCCTTCAATTTTCCTTGCAAACGAAAGTGGACAATTTGGGAAGAGGTGGATTATTTGGGCGGATTATTTTAGCATCGTGGAACATTTTTATATTTGTCGGTTGTCAACAACTATACAGGGTTTCCCGAAAATGTCTCGCAATCCGGAAATGGGAGGTTCCTGAGGTCATTCGAAGCAACTTTTTCCTTTGCGAAAATGTTCTCCGAGGCTTCGTTTACGAGTTATTAACGAAAAACACTGACCAATAAGAGGCGAGCTCGGCTGGCGCGCGGCGGCCCAGCCAACGAGCGCACG